GGGGGAGGTTATGGAATGGGAGAAAATCTTTGCCAGCTACTCCTTTGACAAAGGACTAATATGCATAATATATAAAGTCAAAAATATCAATGCCAAACAGAAAACAAATAGTCCAATCAATAAATGGATAAAAGAAATAAACATAAACGTCACAAAACAAGAAACACAAATGGCCAAAAAAATATATGAAATGTTCAGCATCTCTAGCAATTAGGGAAGTGCAAATAAAAATTACACAAAAAATTCATCTCACTCCATTCAGAATGTCAACTAATAAAGAACATAAAAAATAATAAATGCCAGCAAGTACATGGGGAAAAAGATACATTCTTACATTGTTGGTGGGACTGAAAATTAAAACAACTGGAAATCAATATGTAGATTCCTGAAAAAACTAGGAATTTGTTCCAGAGAGGTGTTTATTCAAAAGATCTAAAATGAGCAAACTATAACTTTACAGCCACTATAATGTTTGCAGGACCACATTCAAACAGCCAAATTGTAGAATCAACCCAGATCCCATCAACAGACAAATGGATTAAGAAAATGTGGTGTATGTATTCACAATGAAGTTGTACTCAGCTATAAAGAAAGAAATAATGGTCCTTTGCCAGTAAATGGATGGAAATGGAGAAAATCATGCTAACTCAGAAAACAGGCAGACATATGTTTTTTTCTCACATGCAGAAGCTGGAGCAAAATAATTGAAAGACAGTGGTGGCAAAGAGGACTGGATATCATCATGATATATGAAAGATTATTGTAGTAGATGTAGGAAAATGATGGGGAGAAAGGGAAAGAGAAACATAAAAAGATGAATTTAACAAAATCATGTTATATACACATATAAAGATACTAAGGGAATTTCTTATGCACATGTAGAAGAAAGGGAAATTTAACAGAGTTGAGGAGAAAGAATTGGGGGAGAAAGAAAAAAAAGGAACAGATGGAACTTGAAATCAAATTCCTTGCATGTATGCTTTTGTCAAAATAATCCTAATTAATATGTATAATTATGATGCCTTCAGAAACAATTTTTTAAAAAAGAGTATCCCTTCCTGTCTTTTATCTATCAGACTAGTTTCCTTTAATGTAGTGAGCAAAAAACATATTCTTTCTGCTTGTCATCAAAGTAAGGCATCAATTCACCCCAGTTATTCTATATGTTTTATGGATACTCACAGAAACTTTAACTAGTAAACATTTTAATCTCCAAGTAACATGTCAATTATCATATTAGAAAACCCTTTTGGTGAGTAGAAGAGAAGCAGTGTAGCTGAGTACAATAAATACACCTTCTGGAAATTTATATATATATATGATACATGCAAGCCTACTAATACTACCAAGGTAGGAAGAAAAATTTGGTTTGTTCAACTATTGGTATGTCCTAAGAAATATTTCCAGAATATTTTTCCCCAGTCACTTACAGTGTCCTTATCTTGAGCAAATATATCTAGGCAATTCCCTTTTACCTGAATTTTTTCTGGGAACATTGACCACAAATTTTTTCCTTGATATAATAGCCAGTTTCAGTTGTGCCACAAAAACGTGTCTTGATTTCATAAAAAGTTTGCTGTAGGCAGGTTCTGGGTGTGGGGCTTGGCAAAAATAATGGGCCAAACTTTATGCCAGCTGTGAAACAGTTTATCTTTAAAGTTTCTCTGTGAATACCTTGGGAGAGAAATTTAGGCCTTGCTCTAAAAATGATGAACTTGGAAGAGTGAATAATACTGAGTTTCAGGCAGAGCAGATCATAGATGGATGGCTTCATACTGCTAAGTGCCACTTTTGTCAGAACTAAGGTGCACTGTATGAAGACTGCTGTGCTTGTTAGTTTTTTAATGCTGTGGCTTACAGCCTAATTAACAATTTAGAGAAATGAAAGTTTCTTTGGGCTCATGGATTCAAAGCTTCAGTCTATAATGGGCTGACTCTATTTCTCTGGACCTAGAGTGAATCAGAATATCTGGATGGAAGTGCACTGTGGGGAAAATCTGCTTACCTAATGACGGCCAGGAAGCATAGGGTGAGCAGGCAAAGCCAGGAACAAAATATATAATTCCTAGAGTATGCCCCTAGTGACACACTTACTTTAATCAGGCTCCATGTGTCTATGGTTACCATCCAGTACAGTATACTCTTAAATTATCAAACCATCAACTGCATTAATGCACTGATTAGGTTATAGTTTTTATAATCTAACAATTTTACCTCTTAGTATTTCTGTATTAACAGAGGATTCTTTGGAGCACAAACTATATCTAAACCATAATACTCCTTTTCTAACCCTCCTAATGCTAATTTGCATCATAATAAGGCAAAACATTTTGCCCACCTTCAAGAGTCCCCACAGTAAGAATACTTCCAGGATTGCCCAAAAGTTTAGGTTCAAAGCATATTTGGAGACTGGAGGTGAATTCTTGGCCATGAGGCCTTTTAAAAATCAAAAGCAAAATATACACATCCAATATATAATGTCACAGTGTACAAAATCCCACTCCAAAAGACATGGATATAGACATAGAAAAAAGGAATGTGATCAAAATAAGACCTAAATCCAGTGGGGGAAAACATTAGGTATAGTAGCACCAAATCTAGCATCTGGGGTACATTGGCAATGAAACGTGCTCTCGAAAGGACTCAGGTACCCCATCCCTGTGACTTTGTTGTTGCAGCTTATATGCCTCTCCCTTAGGCTGGCTTTGTCTGCAGCCAATAGTTTTCATTGGTACATATTCCATGTGCCACGCTAAATCTGGAACAACTCCACTGCAGCACTGTCTCCCTTCTCACACTTTCATCTGTCATACTTGCAAGATTTTCACCCTGGTATGTTTTTCCTGACCTTCAGGGTTTCTTTGGAAATCTTGATGGAAGCTCTAGGGACCTTTAACTCCAGCATCCTGCATTCCTTCAGAAAAGGAAGCCTATCGGTGAGGCCAAGGTCTGTTTCCCAGCTTGTGCAGCAGTAGCTATGTGTTCTTGGACCACAGCTGCAAAGGACTTTTGAATGCCTGGGCAGTTGAGCATGTTGAAACGAATCCTGAGATTCATTTCAGCATCCCTATGCAGTACAGTGCTCCAAAGGTCTTTTTTATTTTTATTTTTTCTCATTTGTGAAGTAGTCAATATATTTATTTTTTGAACAATTCTCATGTTTAAAGGTATTTCCACATAAAATTACAGTATATGTTTTCAGCATACACAAACTATGAAACACATATACAACAGATAGATTGATATAGAAAATGTGGCATATATACACAATGGAGTATTACTGGGCTCTTAAGATGAATTTATGATATTTGCCAGTAAATGGATGGATGTGGAAATCATCAAGCTAAGAGAAATAAGACAGTCCCACAAAACCAAAGTCAAATATATTTGCTAATAGGTGGAATATAATCCACAATAAATAGGGGATAGAAATTCAGTAGATTAGAAAAAGAGAAATTAAGGGAAGGTTAGGAAAAAGAAAGTGGAATGAATCTGACAATTTTTTTTTGAGAGAGAGAGAGAATTTTAATATTTTTATTTTTAAGTTTTCAGTGGACACAACATCTTTGTTTGTATGTGGTGCTGAGGATCAAACCCGGGCTGCACGCATGCCAGGGAGCACGCTACCACTTGAATCACATCCCCAGACCCCTGGCAAAATTTTTTAATGTACACATATAAATATATAGTGAATCCCTATCATGTAGACCCACAAGAATGAAGTCATAATTAGAGTAAGATATATTCCATGCTTGTATAATTATATCTCATGGTCTCTTAAAGGTGTTTTCACTTCTACAATCTTTGTCCTTCAGTGGGTGTGGCCTTGCTGATTGCTGAGATGTACTCAAAGCACATTTTCTAGGTTCTCTGAGCAAGATATTAGCCTCCTTTTTTAAAACAACACTAATCTCTTCAGAAATAAAACTTCACTTTACATATATTTTTATGGCCATATTGCAAAACTTAAAAAAAATTCTGCTCTGCTTTCTGCTTCTGATTCTCAAATAAACCTTATTAAAAATCTTTCAGAAACACCTAGGCCATCTATTGAATATTGTGCTGCATTGAAATATCCTCCACCAGGATAATTAGTCCATCAACATTAAAGTTATCCTCAAAGAGAGTCTCAAGATATGGGCAAAGTGTCAAAAAATTCTTTGCCAGAATGCAACACAAATGCTCTTGTCCAAGACTTATGTTGTAATTCAGTGATATAGAATTTTGGGGCTTAATCCCAAGCACCACACATAAAAAAATTTAAAGTTGGATGACCTAAAGATCCAGAAATGCCAGCACTAAATGAACAATTAAATCAGCCAATTGAAGAGATTCCTCTGCTTTTGTGTTTAGTGCAAACATTGTTCTTAATATTCAAGACAGGGACTCAATATATGTGCCCATCAATGATTAAATGAGTATAAATATTGTACTTATATACTATTATCATTTAGTTATATAAAATATTTTGTCTCTTAAAGTGTTATAAGATATATATGCAGGACTTTGCATTAAGTAAAATATGGCAGGCAGAGAGTCAGTTGCAGGAGCTTTTGATTCACATGTGGAAGTCAAAAATTTAATCAGTAAAATTTTGCTCACCAGGTACTGTGTTTTGTGTAGGGCTGACATTGTTAGTCAAAGTCTCCATATTTTTATTTTAGTGGGCATAAGAGGGTCAAGAGTTTTGTTTACCACATGGTGAGTGTAGTGTATTATGTTCTTCATAAATACCAATAGAAGGAATACAATACCTTGTAAGTACAAAACTGATAATTATATAAAATAATGCATGTGTTGAATCATTTTAGTCATTTTACCTTGTATAAATAGTGTAAGATACCATAATGTATGTAGTAAATACATAAAGTTGTATTTTCATTAAAAGAAATCATCATATCACACAAATTTAAAACTATAAAAATCAATTTATTATTCTTGATTGCCATATTTTGATTTCATCAAAGTATTATGGCCATAGGCTATGCAAGGTTTTTATAGTCTTTTAAATAGGTTTTTAGGGAAAATTTTATAGCATATATGTGTATAATTCTTAGTAAAATTTTTGTTCATATTTTTTTAAGAGTCCATAACCACTCTAACCTTTTGGAATATTTATGGTATTATCACCCAAAATCTATCAGTTATTTTTATGTCTCTATATCATGGTAGATAAAAACCAGTTTTCAGACACTCTTTAAAAAAACCACAGATGTTTATATATGTTTTACATTTTCCTTATTCTACTGAGAGTGAAGGTAACTGGTAGATATTTACTAAATACAGAATGCTACCTTATGGAGGACAAAAGTCTGTGGATGATAAAAGTAACATACTTTCCTTCTCTCTATTGTATTACTCTACTTAGTGATGTACTACTCTTGGATACTGTGGTCTCTTCAAAAATTTGGGTAATATTCCCAAGGTAATTTTGTCTATACATTTTTATTGAACTGATATATTTCTGGATTAATGATAACTTTGGATTTACTAATCTGCTACACTCCTGATGTACTTATTTTACCTTAACTTCATGTTGTGTATGCAAATATATTTATCCCAATCTAGTATGTAATTTTTTTAAAATTTTTTGTTTACTTCAGCCATGACTACTCATCACAACGAAGAATATTCACCAGAAAAGGGCATAAAACATATATTTCACAAAGTGATAAGTGGGAACTATAGAATTTTTTATCTTGACTATTTACAAGAAAAGAAAATATGGAAAACTATATGTGAGAGTAAACATCAGAAATTATATCAAAAATCAGGCCTTGTTCACCTCCAAAGAATTTATACCGGAGAGAAGCCCTACAAACATAAACAATGTGGCAAAGCTTTTAGTAAAAAAAAAAGTCTTATTTACCACAGAAGAACCCATGCTGGAGAGATGTCCTACCAATGGGCAGAATGTGATAAAGTTTTTAAAGAAAAATCAATCTTTATTAAGCAAAGCAGAATTCACACTGAAAAGAAGACCTACAAATGTAAAGTATGTGGTAAAGCTTTTACTCAAATATCAACCCTTATTTGCCACAACAGAACTCACACTGGAGAGAAGCCCTACAAATGTAAAGAATGTGGAAAAGCTTTTAGTCAAAAAACACACCTTATTTGCCACAATAGAACTCACACTGGAGAGAAGCCCTACAAATGTAAAGAATGTGGAAAAGCTTTTAGTCGAAAAACACACCTTATTTGCCACAACAGAACTCACACTGGAGAGAAGCCCTACAAATGTAAAGAATGTGGAAAAGCTTTTAATAAAAAAGCAGGCCTTATTTGCCACAACAGAACTCATACTGGAGAGAAGCCCTACAAATGTAAAGAATGTGGAAAAGCTTTTAGTCAAAAAGCCAGCCTTATTTGTCACAAAAGAACTCACACTGAAGAGAAGGCCTACAAATGTAAAGAGTGTGGCAAAGCTTTTAGTCACAAAACAAGCCTTATTTGTCACAAAAGAACTCACACTGAAGAGAAGGCCTACAAATGCAAAGTATGTGACAAAGTTTTTACTCAAATATCACACCTTATTTGCCACAGCAGAACTCACACGGGAGAGAAGCCCTACAAATGTAATGAATGTGGCAAAGCTTTTACTCAAAAAACACACCTTATTCACCACAACAGAACTCACACTGGAGAGAAGCCCTACAAATGTAAAGAATGTGGAAAAGCTTTTAGTCAAAAAACAGGCCTTATTCGCCACAGGAGAACTCACACTGGAGAGAAGCCCTACAAATGTAAAGAATGTGGAAAAAGCTTTTAGCCAAAAAGCAGGCCTTATTTGCCACAATAGAAGTCACACTGGAGAGAAGCCCTACAAATGTAAAAAGTGTGGCAAAGCTTTTAATAAAAAATCTGGCCTTATTTGCCACAACAGAACTCACACTAGAGAGAAGGCCTACAAATGTAAAGAATGTGGCAAAGCCTTTAGTCAAAAAACAAGCCTTCCTTGCTACAGAAGAACTCACACTGGAGAGTAGCCCTCCAAATGTAAATAATGTGGCTAAGCTTTTAATCAAAAATAAAACTTTATTTACCACAACAGAAGATGCTCTGGTGAGAAACCTTAAAAATATGAAGAAAGTGATAATGCTTTTAAAGAAAAAGCAAACCTTATTAACCACAAAATTTATACAGAAAAGAACCCCTACAAATGGAAACAATGTAGCAAAGCTTTTAATAAGAAATCAAAACTTTTTCACCACTACCAGGCTATTTATTCTGCAAAGAAGACTACAAATGTAGAGAATGTAGAAACATTTTTAATTATATATCACACATTACTAGACATTCAAGAAAACACACTGGAGAGAAGCTATACAAATAAGACCTTTGTACCATTTCTTTAAGGATGGGTCAACATTTAATCCTCTCCACAATCATCACAGCAGAGAGAAATTTTTGAAATTTGAAAATTGACAATGTGACAATGCCTCCATAAATGATTCACCAATACTCAGCACCTGAGGATACATACTGGTTAGAGAGAATACAAATGGGAAAAAAAAATGTTTCAAAGCCACAGGTTTCTTAAACACTACTGATATTTGGAGACTTCATTGTGCCCAGAAATCCTAAAAAGTTAAATAATATTTCCAAAACTTATTCAAATTTTCAATTCATTGAACATTTTAAAACTCATACCAGTAGTGAACATTGAACATATTTTGTCCAAAATGAATGCCTTATATAACAATAAAATATTTACAATAAACACCTTGACAAATGTGAGAGTATAGTAAAGTCATTACCTATACATTACACCTTGATGTATATGAGGATCAGTGAAATACAGAACTAATTTAAATATAGAAAATGAGTAGTTATCTTTAACTTTTACTTATAATCCCAGCAGCTTGGGGGCCGGGTGCAAAAGAACTTTTAGTTCAAAACCAGCCTGAGCAACTTAATAAGGCCCTAAGCAACTTAGTGAGACCATGTCTCTAAATAAAATATAAAAATGGTCTGGGAATATGGCTTAGTGATTAAGCACCCCTGCATTCAATCCCAGGTACCAAAAAAAAAAAAAAAAAAAAAACGGGGAGGGGGGAAGGGCAGTGAAGAAAGCCAAAGTAAAAGTTTAAAAAAAGCAAGTAAACAAACAAAAAACTTACATGTTTACAACATCTAAGAAATTTAGAAAAATTCAGCAATACAGACAGCAAACTCCATATTGATTTATCGAGTATACTTTGAAATAAAATGGACCTATTTACCAGTGTGGGTTTAACTGACTACAAAATTGGTAATTTAGGAGAAGTCACTTAACTTCTCTGAATATAAATTGTTTATATAATGAGAAAAATAATACCCTGAATAATGTTTAGTATCTTTAAATTAATCCCTAACATACCATAAGATCCTAAGTTTACTTGTAATAAGACCATTCATGTTAATTATAAAGTTTTGCCAAATTTGGATGTAGCCCTGCCTGTGACTTATTAATGCCATGGCATAATTTAGATGTGAGGGTGTCGCGACCCCTTGCCCGCAAGGAAGACGCAACTCAGGAATCTTCTTTCAGCAGTTTATTCAGGCCCTTGATATTTCTTCTTCTCTCCCTCGGATGCCCCTCCCAGCCTTAATAAAGCATCTCAAGCCCCAATGCGAAGCTGCCACGTGGAGCTTTCTCATAGGGTGGTGAAAAACCACGCGCCAACTCTCCCAAATAAGGAGTTGTTTGTCACAGACCACAGCGGAGCCAGCGCCATCTTGTAATGGCGACCATAGTCTGCAGAAACGGCAGAAGCGGCTCACCACATGAGGGTATAGATAAATAAAAATAAAGCATTTTCTATTCTCTGTTGACTAAATTCTCATTATGCAAATGCATTTGTTAAAATACTGTTTCTTGATTTTTGATCAATAACAAAGAGGAGAAAAGATAATTAAGAGACCCTTTTCTTTAGGCTGGATATTATCTGCCTTGGTATTTATTGTGGAAAACAAATGAATCCTCTTAGGTATTCCTAAAACACATTCCAAATACATATTTATCCAAATGTTTCTATACATATTGTATACCCAGATATAGTTCTTGTTCTCTTATTGGAACAATGATAATAACCTTGTATTAATAATAACTCTATATTTCTTCTTGACCACTTTCCAACTTGAGGAACATTGAATAACTTCAGTAAATATTATTATCTAACTTGAGTAAATGTTTCAAGATATGAATTATAACACTTTCCAATGAAAACACTGTAAAATGAAATCCAAGTTTCTTATGATAGCCATTGTGGTTTCAAGCTTTCAAGATGGCCCAGAAATGATCCCTGATTCTTGATATTTTATCCTTCTGTGGATCCTTCTATGTTGTGCCATGTTTGGTTTGTCTGGCCGAGAGCATACATCAGAAATGGTGGTACATTGCTTCAAAAAGTTCTTTCACTTTGAAGAAGGTGACCTACTAAGTTATGAGCAGAACTGTGCAGAGGCTCACATGGAAGCAAGTAAAGTCTTGGCCCAATAACCAGTAAGGAGCTGAGGCTGCCATTACCCTTATTTGTGAGCTTAGAATACACCCATCTGTTGATTCTTGAGATGACTGCAAATTTCGTTTGGTATTTGAGCCAGAACCACCCTGCTAGACATTTCTAGATTCTGACTCAGAGAAAGTACATGAGATGGTTAGTTATAAAATGTTATGTTTGGGGACAATTTGATATACAATTCTTCTTCTCGGGTCCTGAGTGGTAACTTGCTTGCAACAAATAATAATTTTCCCCCTGGATATCTCTAAACACCCTCTGTCTTTTATTTTACATGTTACCCTCTTTTCTCCAGAGAAAGTCAAATAATCTAATTTTGCCACATTCATGTAAAATATAATATCATGTTAAAATTTAACACCTAAAAGAACAGGGACCAGATCATCACATTCTTCACTGTATCTCCTATATTTACTCAGGGTATGACCAAAAAAAAAAAAAAAAAGACCGCCTAAATAAAAATGTGTTGACTACATGAAAATTTGAATAATTTTTTGGAAAATAAAACCAAACATATAGCTCACTTTAGGTATTAACTCTAGTGATGGAGGCCACGCATTTTTACTGTGAGCATTATGTACAAAGGATATCTTTGTTAGTGGAGATATAATCTAGTAAGTTTACTGCATACTCTCTTCTATTTAATGATAAATAGAAGATAGTGTGCAATATACTTACTAGATTTTGGCCACAATAAGACGATCATTGTAGAGAAAGAGATGCCCTTTCACCCTCTGCAGGCCTCTTTTGTGTTTTACCCATCCAGCAATCCAGTAGAGCCCTCCTGGAGCACAGAAATGATGACAACAATTCACATGTATTGTCATAGCAGAAGGAATTCCCCCATAACAGAAAAAACCCTCATATCGATTAGTCACATCAAGAATTATAGGACAAAGTTTTTATAAAATTATACCTTAGAATTGGTAAGAAAGTAAGTCTATAATATTTCTAATTCAAGAGCATTGTGTCATGAATTGATCACCTGGCCAATTTGACACACAGTCATTTTTCATACTTCATCATAAACATTTTGAAATATAAAACTTGAATTAGTTTTGTAATAAATTTTATGACATGTTTGGTTTTCAAACAATGTGTTCTGAGGTAATTTGTTTTACAGTACTTCTCAGTATCTGAATGGTTAACTCCTTTGCATGCTACTCTACTACATATGCCATCTGTCTTTTAGTATAAATCTTGGAATAACCCAAGCTAGATTCTAAAATTAAAATTTTATAGGCATCCAAGAATCTGGTCTTCAATTGATTAACTTCTTTCATTTTTGGCATTTTAGTGTGAACTGCAAAAAAAAACAAAAAAAACAACAAAAAAAAACAGTTCATTATTCCTTAACTACTACAACATGACTATCACTAACTACAGTTCAATTTTCTTCACTTGCTATAAAAACTTACATAAAGAAACCACAAATATACATATCTAAAGTATACATTTACCAAGATTTGGCAGATTTATTTATTTGTGTACTCTAAACTCCTATCAAAATATACGTAATTATTATCAATCCCAAAAGTTCTCTTTTTCTCCTTGTCATTAATTATTTAAACTAGCAAGAATGGTCTCCATGTGCTTGCTCCTGGATTAAATATTCATTACAGACATAAAATCATTGGGTAAAAAGTTCATGAATGAGAAATACAAATTTATTTACCACTAATTATATTAAAAATATAAATACAAGCAGTAAAAATTTAACCACTCACATCTCACCTACTTTGGACACCTAGCATCTGATGTACAATTAAAAGAAAATGTGGTTAAGAAATCCCAAGGTGCTATTATCCTTCAGATATCTATAACCCCTGCCATACAAATAGCTATATCACCTGGAAAAATAATTCCAATAGACAACTTCTCTGACTCTCTTCTTCCCCATGAGTTCCCTCAAACTTCTCCTTTTTGGATAATCCTCTGGACAATTTCAGACTATGAAATTATTTTCTATTATTTTTTTAATTTTAATTTAATTTAATTAATTAATTTATTTTTTAGTACTAATGATTGAACCCAAGGGCATGCTTAACCACTAAGCCACATCCCCAGCTCTTTTATTCTATCTATCTATCTATCTATCTATCTATCATCTATCTATCTATCTATCTCTATCTATCTACATTTTGAGACAGGGTTTCTTTAGGTTGCTTACAACTTTCCTAAGTTGCTGAGTCTGGTGTCAAAAATGTGATCCTTTTTCCTCATTCACCCAAGCTTCTAGTATTAGAGGCATGTATCACCACACCCAGTGGAACATAGTTTCTTACGAAACCCCTGTCCCATGATTGTATCTTCATGACTGATAAGCATCCAAATCCCCCAATTCTTTATACCAGTCCATTTCAACCCCATCACTCCAGAAGCAATCAGTATTTAGTATTAACTGATGACTTTCCTGTGCTAGAATTTTATGTAAAACATATCAGGGTTTATGTTCTTTTATATAAGATACACTTTAGTTATCCTGTTTGGTTATTCATTCATGGTACATTCATCAGTAATGCACTAAAGGACTTTACTGAATACTACTCAGTGTATAAGTAAATTTGCCAGAGTGTATTTATTTTCCTATCTGTAGACTCCAAACTAGAGTTTTTAGTTATTATGAATAAAATATTACTAAATGCTATTTTTGTGACCTATGTTTTCATTTCTCTTGGGTAAAACCTCAGAGTGGAATTTTGGGGACTCAGATTTGGTGTCTATGCTTAATTTCAGAAACAAAAATAAAAAATGCCAGTATATTGGTACCATTTTTTATTCTCAGAAATTCCACATGGGATTCCCAGTTGCTGCACAATCATGCCCACTTGAGAGGTTTTTAACATTTTGTATTTTAGCAAATCTAATAGATGTGTAACAGTATATTACTAAGATATTAATTTGAATATCTCTGATGACTGGTTTCTTTCTCCTTCTTACTGGTATTTTGTACATCTTTATTTGTGAACTGTTTTCAAATATTTTGTCCACCTCTAGAAAATGGGATATGTTTCTTTAACATTAAGTTTAAAAGGATTTTTCATACATTGTTTACCAGATGTTTGTCAAATATTTGTTTTGGAAAATATTATCGTTAGGTGAGTCAAATAAAGTATGACTGTGGACTCTATATTTCAACTTTAAAATTCAATTTGCATCTGACTTTCATATATATATATATATATATAGTTTTATCATACAAAACCTCACTTATTTTAGAAAAACCAAAGCAATCATTTTAAAAAGAAACTGCAGTCTTAGATAGATCTGCCTTAACATATCACAAGTGTTTCATGCAAACCTCTGCTAGAAAATCTAATCTAATCTTAACATTCACCATTTGAAGAAATAAAATTTAACATACTTTCTATTTCAAACAGAAGCAAATATAAGCCTTAACATTAAAACTAGATGTAATATATACAACAAATATTGGTAACGTGAACTGTCCTAAAGGACTTTTAACATTAAAAAGTAGTAAATTTTGTATTTAGTATTGCATAGGAAATTATTTTCCAATTATGAATGTTTTCACCTGGTGCTATCAAATATATTTATATTGGTATAAATACCTCAATGACATAATATAAAACATAATTTAAAAGGCCTGGAATTTTAAAACAATCCTTTTACTCTGTACAGTATTAACCTATTTTTCATTTCACAGTCAACAAAACCAAGAACATAACAGAATTCTTCTAAATAAACCAGGAACATATTAATGGCC